CTTTGATTATGCCCCCCCCCCCTCCTATTGAAAATTTGTAAGCTACCAATTATATACTTAAAAGGATGCAAATTAGGCCTGGTAAATTTGCCGTTAACGGTTACAGCCGTTTACTGTGTATGCCTAACATAAACTGAATTCAATTAATAAGACCTTCTCATTAATTGTTTATCTCAGTCTACCCAAGTGCCAGTACAGCACGTTCTGTATATGCACTGTAGAGTCGACCCAGCACGTTCTGTATATGCACTGTAGAGACCACCCAGCACGTTCTGTATATGCTAGAGATGTCAACGTTTTGATTTTTCTAGATTTTAGCTTTCGTTACGATAGTGTTCATTAAAAGTATAAACGTTTGAAACGTTAAGTTGCACATAATGAAATTTTATGGCATAGAGTAACGTTACGTAATGAATTTTCTGCACTTGAATACCTTATACAACGTTAAGCTTTTGTAAATGTTGTGAAAAACAGTAAGCTCCGTTACGCTTTTGCATTTCCTGCTTTNCTCTATGTATAATCTATTCTCTTTGGTCATAGTTTACAATTTAGAGAAAATTATTTTTCCTCAGATTTTGATAAGTCACGATGGCATTACTTTCATTTTTAATATATATTTAAGTTGGAAAAAGCATGCATTTTTTTAAATGAATAGCTTCAGCCAAAGAGAATAAATTATACATACAGTGGACTTTAAACGATCTCTTGGTTTGACTTTTGTCAGTCCCTTTCAGCCTCTAATTTAAAAAAATGTCGAAGTTAATCTTATATTTTTTACGAATAAGGAGAAAAACGGTTTAGTTTACTGTATTGCATGTGCAGAGCAGTTTAAACTACAATATATATGGACAGACAACAAGATCTTCAGATGAAAGAGTGAGAGAACATATTAGTAATACATTAGAATTCTCCATACAAACCAACCTACAGAACATTTTAACCTTCCTGGACATGAACTCTACCATCTAAAAGTTAGCGTACTAGAGAAGGTTTGGGACCTTGGAAGAAGTTTACTTGAAGTACGAGAATCATAATACATATATTTTTCTTACTCTACAAAGGTTTGGTCCATCACCATCACCGAATTTTAAATTAGTTATTTTATTTTCAATATTCTAAATTATTCAAAATAAATTTTTCGAACCTCAGTATCTCTTATGAAATCTGCTGATCATTTTCGATGCTCAATAAAAGGCGAATAGTCAGATCCGAAAAAAATAAGAATTTAGAAGTGTTTATATGACGCCCTTAAAAGTAGTAATATTTTCACACTTTTAAAACAGAAGTTTTTTTGTTAAACAAACCAGTAATAAAATTTAACTTAATTCCTTTTCAGAACGTTCACAATAGAAACAATTTTATTCAGGCCTAATGTATAATATCAAAAAAATATTTCATTAACAATTTTTCACTATAATTAGTAGAGTAATAATTATGCACAATCGTAAAAAAAAACAAAAAAATACTTTTAAGTCATAAGCATTACTAACAGCAAATTATTATAATAACCTACAGTAAAAGATAATGCCATATAATTAAACAACCCTTAATAATGTACTGTACTAAGGATATCAAATGTTACAATAGAATTATTAACCAGAGACCAAATTCAATAAATAATGAAAAGTAGTTGATTTTCATAGACTTAGTTGAACCACATTATGCATATTCAAAAACTTCAGTTTAAATTATCAAGTTTAGTGGAACCAACCGTAAGTAAATCGTTTTATCAAAATTGATTTCGTTTGTAAGATTTAATTAAGACATAAAAAGCTTTTTGCAATTGATCTAATCCACCATCACTGAATAATTATCTTCTTATGACATAAATAACAGTTCGTGATTATTACTTCATATTTAAAAATAATATTTAACTAAGATTTAATTATTAAAGGTTGGGAAGATCAGATTGATTATTTCTCTGGTGTCTCTCCTTCTCCTTCTTCCTCATCTTCTTCCTTCTCCTCTCCAGAGCTGTCAGCTCCGTCTTTATATGCAGATACGTCTTCCGCAGATCCTCAAGAGATCGTTGCAGTACATTAATCCGTACTTCAGAGTTCATTTCAGGTTCTAAATAGTAGAATTTTGTCAAATCTTTTTCTCTCTCCAAATAAAAAAAGTTTTATTTCTGACGACAGGAGAAGCTATAAAAATGGTCTGAAGAACAAATATGCATTCTATCGAAGCTCGTCAAAATACGTAAAAAGTACAATTACAAAAATAAGTCAATCTACAAATGTTCATTTCTGTTCCGAAATTCTCGGGTTGGAGCTAAACACGATTGACTGAACGGAAAATCAAATTATTATTACCTAGCTTGACGTAGAAATTGTACTTAGAGTTAGTGTTAGGTTTAGGTTGAGCCAGCGCAGCTAATGCAGCATTATCCAGACGATCAAGCTTTAATAGTTCGAGATCGGTCCGAGATCTAGTTCCAATCATCGGCTGCTCGATCTCCTCTGGCTCTTCCGCCCTGGAGGGACGGAGGGATGGGATCCGCCCCCGTCCCTTGCCACGCCCTCTACCCATGCTATCACGAGATTTGCGTTTCCGCTTCAAGGAAATTGGGGATTTTTCAGCAGGAATTTTGCGGCGTTCACCTCGCCCACTCCTTCACAGAAAAATGTTTGTTTTGAAAGCGAAGTGTAATTTATTTGCCCAGCATATCGTGGTTTAAAAGGCTAGCTTTATCATATTCAAATCGTTCACTTTATGACAAAAAGCCCAATTTTTATTTAATAATATTTCCTTTTTAACATTTAAGATAAGAAGAATATAAAATCAGATATTTTACCTAGTTTCACTAGAACTTGAATATTCAAGTCTAGAATCCGCACTACCCGCCCTGCGCCCCCGTCCCAGGCTTTCTATATCACTTCCGGCTCCTCCACGTGTTCGGCCAGTTAAACTCTCCAAATCACTTCCGGTTCGTTTCGGGCTTCCAGTCAAGCTCTCTAAGTCAACCTCAGAGGACTCAGGACTCTGGTCTCCTTTGGGAGTATCCTCCAGCTAAAAAAAAATAAATAAAAAAGCTTGTGAGATTTAACCCTATTTCTATTTTCATGAAGTAAAGGCACAAAGGCTATATTCATTGATAGCGTTTAAAAGACCGTTCACTTATTTGGGTATTTCCTAGGTTAACTAAATACCCCATTATCTTTGAAAAGTAAGACTAATATCGGACTGAATAGCTAATAAGGCATTATAGGAAAGGGTTAGTTTGACCAATTTGAATAAATTTTGTGACTACTGTATTTATTTTTTTAGGAATCTGAATGAAATTAAGCATATGGGCATCATTTGTGTTTCTTTTAAGTAAAATAAAAATGTTTATAAAAAATCTTTTTGCTCATTTTCCCTTTTTTTTTATATAAGTCTGATTCAAATACCAGCTACGAACAGTTACGATAAACATTTTGAAAAATGTCGAGCATATAAAGAGAAAAAATATCCAGCTTAAGAATCGCTTTTTATTACCAAAAATGGTGTCTAAACGAAACCAAAAAAATAACAATTGGTCAAACTAACCCTCCCCTTTAAACTAAAATACCCAAATAAGTGAACAGTCCCTTTAACAATGTTATCTTTTTGTAATTAGTTCCAGTCCAGAGCTGTCCTAATGAGTTACAGTATATATTGTAATCTCTTCTAAATTCTATTTCTAAAATCGGACTGAATAGCTGAAGGCATAAAATTTAACCTAAAAATACCCAAAAAGTGAACGGTCCCTTTAACACAGTTTTCTTATTATAATTAGAGTTCCACTCCAGAGCTGTTCAAATGATTTACAGTAGAATATAATTCTATCTCTTCTTGATCATTTTCTTATTTTTTAAATGTAAAAATTTACCTTCTGAGAATGGACTGGTAAGACATTTTTAGTAATTTCCTTCCTTCGCTCCCCTCTCATCATCCCTTCGGCTTTCCTGTCAATTCCTCCCTCATTCTTCATTATATTCCCTCCCTCATTCTTTATCATAGAGGCCTCCTCATTCTTATTCATAGAGCCCTCCGGCTTCCCTTTAATGCCATCTTCAGGATTTTTCTTCTCAACTCGCTTCCCATCCATGTCAAAAACGCGTTCAGGACTCCTGGAAGAATAAATTTCAACAAGATATTAAAACTTTTAGATAATTTTCTTGTAGAGTGGTAAAATAAAATGTTACAAAACATCCAATTCAACTCCTGCTTTAACAATTATGAGAAGTTGGAAAACTCCCATGATTCGCTAAAATGGCGATTTTTTATCCCTAGTGATTAATGGGTTTATAAGTGTGTGTTGTAACTTTTATCACCTATCAAATATTTCCTCGCACACTAAACTCTTCTCCGCTTCCGCCTCTGTGTCAACTTCCGCCTTTTCTTCAACCTTAAGCTCCGCCCTAAACTCAAGGTCTTCATCATGAGTTCTACGCCGCTTACTTGCAGATCCCAACCTTAGTTAGGAATCAATCAATCAATCAATGTCCAAAAAGGGAATGAAAGAACATCATTATTTAGCTTCTGTCGTAATTTCAAGTCAATTAATCTATAATTATACAAAGAATGAATATTTAATATAGTTCAGAAATTGCGAAAAATATCTAAAAATCTACGAAATTTACCGGATACCCATTTTCCGGGATAAATATTAACAATTCTCACAAACATGAACAAGTTTGTCCTCGAGGTTACCTCGAGTGTGAGCTGTCCTCTGAAGAGTCTGAATCTGAGTCTGTAACGACCTCCCTGGACTTGAGATTGTAGTTCCGAGGACCACGGATCTTAGGCTTCCGTCGGGATTTCCGGGGAGATTCCTGGACAACAAAATATAAATTTAAAGGAACTGTAAGTGTAATTTTAAGTAACCCATCATGCAAAGATTGCAATGCCCGATTTACAACGGTACCCTTGAAACCTTGTTCTGATAAAAAAATATTAATTCAGATAATTTCTCCATTTTTCTTTAATTAAATGCACAAGTGACTTTTGCAGAGAAACCACAAATGAATATTAACAGTTCAAAGAAAATGAATAAAAACAGTTCAAAGAAAAATAAATATTAACATTTCAAAGAAAAATGAATATTAACAGTTCAAAGAAAAATTAATATAAACATTTCAAAGAAAAATGAATATTAACAGTTCAAAGAAAAATTAATATAAACATTTCAAAGAAAAATGAATATTAACAGTTCAAAGAAAAATGAATATTAACAGTTCAAAGAAAAATGAATATTAACAGTTTAAAGAAAAATGAATATAAACAGTTCAAAGAAAAATGAATATTAACAGTTCAAAGAAAAATGAATATTAACAGTTCAAAGAAAAAAACATTGCTATTTAATTCCTCCTTGATCAGACAAAGCTTTTATGTGTCCCGTCGTAAATCGGGGATTGCCATCTTTGCATAAAGGCTCACTTAAAATACCCCTTACAGTCCCTTTAATCCGAAAACTAAGAAACAAATCCTAAATAAATGTCCTATCAATTTTATCAATTCCTTATCCTAAAAGCTTAAACTCAAGGATGGACATTTTCAGCTGTAGCAGACGCAGAACATAAATTAATTGATCTGACCCCTGTAATAATGTTCAATTTTATTCAATGTTATGTTTCTGCGAAAATAAAAATATTTGATTTGGTGTGAATGTTATGCTTCAGGCTTTCATATATTTTTTGGGGGAAATTGCAAATTATCATGTTGGCGACATAAAATAAGATAAAAATTAGATTAAACTGAGATGAGTTATGACATCTGATATTAGTTCTACATGTTTTTTCAAAAATTTTAAACATCCTGAGATTTATTTTCTGAAATAAAGATTTAAAAATCCATTTTTTGACACATTTTAATAATTACCTGTGATCTACGGTGCTTTGGAGACAGATTAGGTTTTAAAAGGCCATCCGAGTCGGAGCACTTTTTAGATTCTGACTCACTCTCATTCTTCTCAATCTTAACTTCATGTTGCTCTTCATCTAAGTCAGTCTTTGTTGGATCAACTTTCTCCCTTTCTTTTTCTTTCTTAGATTCGCCATCCTCGTTCTTTATATTTCTTTCTTCTTTCGTATTCTTCACTTGCTGAATCTTCGTTTCTTCTTTTTCCTCCTGTGCCTTTCTTTCTTTCAACATATTCTCCTAGAATAAACAAGAAAATAAAGAGTGAATATTTTCTGCACTAACAGTGATACGAATCCAATATTCCTTAGGGGGCATGATACGTTAGAAAAAATACTTATATCACGCCTTAAAATTGCATATTTTTCCCTTGTATTCATAAGCTTTAAAGCATAAAGTTACCCACACAAAAAGCCTAGTGTGACAGACAGAACCAGCCAGAAAGTAGTCTTCACTTTCACTTTAAATTTGATTTAAGAGCATTATTAAAACTAAAAAATAACTATTTTTTTGTAATGGTTAGGTTCTACTTTCGTAGAAGGCCTTAGAAGAATCCTTCATCATCAGCCTATGGACGGGTTACTGCTATACATATACATCCCAGTTCTATTTTGAATTAAGAATCTGGTAAATTATGGATCCAATGAACCAGGCAAGAAAAACTCTCCCAAAAAAAACTTCTTTGAACTATTGGATATAATACCTAAAATGATCATCCTAGGGTAGTGGTGGTTAGTTACCAAGCTTTATAATAGGATAGAATAAAAGTGAAACATGTTAATTTGCAAACATATATAGCTTTGAAAATAAAGTAAAATAAAAAACTTTGCAATACAAATAATTCATGAATACCGTATAGCAGCCCAGTGGAAAGGCTGATGCACATCCAACATTTCACCTTGGTAATACGATTTAAAAAATTTTCCTTTGTAAAACTATTTTTTTTAATAATTGAACCGAAACACACCTCTTAGACAAAATCGGCTTTTTGCGTTTATTAGAAGAAGAGAATAGCAAACAATAAAAAAATTACCTCTATAACATATCCAACAATTGTGCTGATCATACTAGCACTGGTTAGGGGTCCAAGGGATCCAGTACTAGGGGTTGAGAAGCCTGCTCCTGAAAGGGATGTGAAGGGTATGACAGGGGGTGTAGGAGGTAGGACAGGAGGAAGGGCAGGGGCAACAGCAGGCAGCGAGGCGAGAACTGAACGTTTGGCAGCGCTAAGAGAGGCGAGATGGGGGAAAAGGGCAAATCTGTTGTTGAGCGAGGGAAAATTAGTTTTAGGTCGATCAGATTCTTCTTTTTTCTCAACTTTATCCTCCTAGGGGAAAAATAAAAATAAAAACTTCTAAAACCGTTTTATGCTGGATTGCATATTTTCACCAAAACATCACAAAAAGGAAAAATATTTAAAACATTGAATAAAAGACTTAATTGATGTTGCAAAAAAGAGTTCCAAGAAAATTGCATAAATATTAAGTACAGGGGTGTGTCTGTGTGTTATTATTATTATTATTATTGGGCAAAATAAATACATTTTTGGGTTTAAGTTTCTGAAGCATGGAAATCTTTTTACCTCTTTAATTTCAACTTTGAATTTTGTTTCAGCTTCTTTTTTGGGAATAAGAAGATCAGGGTCTAAATCTGAGGTAGAATTGTCCCGAGCAGAGGTTGCAGGTTTCTCCGTATTCAAGGGTATGCCCGAAGTAGGTGGATCCAACCCAACCTTCAGAACAGGTTCAGATTCCGGGAAAGGTTTCGCTTGATCAATTTCGGCGATAGGTTTAGCAGGTTCAGGTTCTACACAAGAGATAGGCTGAACTCTAACTTCAGGTTTGGTTTCAAGTTCATCAACCTTCTCCGTTTTAACCTCGACCGGGATTATTTTCTTTTTCCGTCCTCGTCCTGGTTTCTTCTCTTCTTTCTTCTCCTCCTCAGCCTCAACCTTGATCACAGGTTCCTCGAGAACCTTGCTCGGTTCAAACCTCGAGAATCCTTCCTCTACCTCCTTGAAATCATACGGATCCTCGAGGTCGCTACTTCTAAAAAGCGCCTTGGAGGGTGTAGGCGCGCGCATGGAGGACGTTTTCTGCTCCGATGACGGTGTGACAGGACGCCTTGATTCTAGCCGGGCAGAGGTCCGGGGGGTGTCCGGTCCTACCGGAGAACTTTTACAGTCAGAGATGCGTTTTAAGTCGTCTTTTGATACCGTGTCCGTGTCTGACGGTTCAGCTTTCTTCGTTGGTTCAGGAGTCAAGGACCCTAGTTTATTCTTACTTGTGATTTGGTCTTCAGCTTTTCCTAAAATACATTTTAAAAATAAATACATTTCATTTGATGATAAAAGAGAAATTGTTAATTCATTCATATATCACTAATCCGTATCTTGTGGGGTCCGACAGCTGATTTTCTGAGACTAGGCACTAACAAGCTAAATCAAAAGTTTCCACGTAGATACCTTCAGCTTCTTAAATTTAATATAAAAGTTTCAACCTCTGACCTTATTAATAGTCAATCAACACCACTTATCCGACCCCCTGGACAAAGTCTTGAAAGATTAAAATGACCATAATTTGACTTAATAATAAAGTTACCAGTTCTAGAGGATTTTCTCACTGTAAGAATCCTTTCCTCTTCGTCACCCAAATCCTCCTCATCATCTTCCTCTTCCACTTCATCTTGAAGATCTTCTTCTTTCTCTTTACCTGCTTTAGATTTTATCTGGGGTTCAGTCGGTTCCTCTTTCTTCAACTTCTTAATCCCAAGTTTCTTCGCATCACAGAGTTTCGTCTTTTTCACCAGTTTTCCTTTCAGATCAAGCTTTTTCTTTCCGCCGAGCTTTCGTGGTTTTTTCTCTGGTTCCGCTTCGGGTTCAGCAAGCTTCGCCTCCTCCGCCAGGGATGAGAGACTGCCCTCGCTCCTGGATCCGGAGCTAGTGCTGTTCTGTCGCTTGATGGAGGAGACGTTCTTCCTGGTGACAGGGGACTCGGTTCTCTTCGGTTCAGGTTTAATCTCCGGTTCATCTTTATTCCGATCCTCCTAATCAAACGTAGATTAAATGGATTCTTATTTCAAGAAACAGATTTAAGTGAAAATTCGTGAAAAAAAAACGAAAAATTTCGCATTTATCGCGAGCGAGCGAAATGCGAAATTTTTTTTGAAACGATTTCCGTTTTTGCTAGAAACCCCTCTAGTTTCGACGGATGGGAGATGAGTTACACTATTATTAGTGGGAAACATAAAGTGCTAATTAAGTCTGAAAAAAAATTAAAAGTCCGATTGCAGTTAAATAAATAAATACAAGATGTGTTAAAAAGTTACTATAAACATTTTATAACACTTGATAATAAAAAAAAATGGTTGGTTAATGGTTACCTTGACCGGAGATATTTGTTTAGTAGGAGATCTAGTTTGTCTAGATCCTGCAGGAGAGTTAGTTCTTGAACTACTAGGAGTAGAACTAGGAGTAGCTGATCTTCTCTTCTTTATCTTCATCTTCTTCTCCTCTTCCTTCCTTTTCAACCCCTCCTTCTCCATCTCCTCCTCGTCGTCCATATCGTCCTCCGTCTTGATATCCAGGTCGGACTTATCCTCGTCCTTGCGCTTCTTCCAGGCGCTAGGACTGGAGGCAGGACGACCCGGACCTCCCCGAGGTTTGTTACTGTTAGTCCAGGACAAGTTATCAGCAATTCGTCCTCGTGGGATCCATTCATCGTACCTGGAGTTCCAACCCTGAAATATATTTTCAATCAATGAAAATAAAAATCAAATCAATTAATCGTTCAATTATCATTATCGTAAAAAAAGCATTCAATCAACTAATGATTTAATATTTAATGGCAATAAACACTTTATCAATCAAGATCATTTAATGAACTTATCTATAAAAACTGTGAAGTTAATAATTCAATATCAAAATCAAACAAACAATCAATCAATAAATATTGTATCAACGGGCTAATACTCTATTAGTCCTCAAACTTGAGAAAAACTGTATATATGTTTATAAATACTGTAACAGATTTTTATTTTTGACAATTTATTATATATATATGTATATATATACGAATGTATTTTATTCCAACTGATGATTGGGTTAGACCCATGAAACATTTTGTCTTGGAAGAAATATATATTTAAACATCTAAAATGTATATTTAAACTGAAAAAGTTGAAAATATATTTATATATTGACCATAAAATGTAATGTTAGGTTAATTTAGTTTGAAATGTTTTATTATTAATATTATTTATTAAATCAATCACTGAAAGAATAAATGAATTAATCAATAAATCAATAAATGAATTATCACTTAAATAATTATTTTGACGACAAATCGGACATCAGTCAATAAATTAATCAAAAAATAAGAGAATAACTCAGTAAATAACTCTGTAATTCTTCCAATCAATAAGTAAACCAATCAATCAATCAATCAATCAATCAATCAGCAAATGCATCATGGTATTTGATATTAACGCTCAAATTATTTTGTTGGGCAAAAATTTCAACAAAATAATAAAAGCTTGATTGATATTGAGTGGGGTAGGGAATATTTAAAAAATATCTTAATATTAAAAAATTCAAGATTATATTGTTTTTGGCAAAAACTCAAAATTAGGACTGGACCAACCTTTTTCTTTCTAGTTCCGGTAGAATCCAGATCTGAGCCAAAATCTTCATCTTCCTCTTCCTTTGGTCTTTTCTTCCGTCCTCGTCCTACCTTCCCACTGCTATCACTGTCCTCGTCCTCCTTCTCAACGTCCTGTTTAACCAGCAAACTTCCCTCTCGGCGTCCTTTAGCCTCTGACGCGGTGGAAAGACTAGAAGATGAATCACGCCTGAATATACAGATATTTTATAATTTAAATCGCTTAATCATTCAGTTAATAAATCAAACAATCAATCAATTAATAAATCAAACTATCAATCAATAAATAAATCAAACAATCAATCAATTAATAAATCAAACAATCAATCAATTAATAAATCAAACTATCAATCAATTAATAAATCAAACAATCAATCATTTAATCAATCAATAGAAAAACCTTGTTATTTGGTACTTTACAAAATCTTAGTTCTTTGGTACAAAACTTAGGAATTCGAAACATTAGACTTAAATCATTTGATATAAAACTTTGGTCATTGGGTACAAAACATTGGAAACATCCCATTGATACATCTCATTTGATACATCCCATTGGATACATCCCATTGATACATCTCATTTGATACATCCCATTGGATACATCTCATTGGATACATTCCAAAGAATACATCCCATTAGATACATCCCATTAGATACATCCCAGTAGATACATCTCATTGGATACATCTCATTTGATACATCTCATTGGATACATGTCAATGGATACAACCCATGCGATACATCCCATCGGATACATCCCATTGAAAACATCCATTGGATACATCCCATTGGATACATCCCATTGGATACATCCCATTGGATACATCCCATTGAATACATCCCATTGGATACATCCCATTGGATACATTCCATTGGATACATCCCATTGGATACATCCCATTGGATACATTCCATTGGATACATCCCATTGGATACATCCCATCGGACACATCTCATCGGATACATCGCATTCGATACATTGCATTCGATACATGCCATTGGATACATCCCATTGGATAAATCCCATTGGATACATCCCATTGGATACATCCCATTGGATGTAAATAAAATTGTCTTTTGTTACAAAAATTTGGTTAATAGGCTAACAAATTGACTACTTCAATTCGGTAAATTATCTCGGGTTTCGAATTACAAACTTGGTATTTTGATATAAAATGTTAACATGGATTGCAAACGTCAACATGGTATTTTGGTATTTGGATACAAAACGTTAACTTGGTATTTAGATACCAAACGTTAACTCGGTATTTGGATACAAAACGTTAACTTGGAATTTGGATACAAAACGTTAAATTGGTATTTGGATACTAAATGTTAACTTAGTATTTGAATACAAAACGTTAACTTGGTATTTGGATACAAAACGTTAACTTGGTATTTAGATACAAAACGTTAACTTGGTATTTGGATACTAAATGTTAACTTGATATTTGGAAACACGACAAAACGTTAACTTGGTATTTGGATACAAAACTTTAACTTGGTATTTCGAAACAAAACGCTAGCTTGGTATTTGGATACAAAACGTAAGGCATTCAGTAAATAAATACTATTGGTAAAATAAACTAAGTTTAAAGCCCAGAATGAATTCAAAGGAAGATGATGTAACTCATTATTCAGATCAATTGTTACTGAATATCTCCTGACTAGTAAATTTTACCTTGGTCTCGAAAACAGGTTTGACCCTTTTCCCTTGGCTCCCCCCGGTCCTTTCTTATTCTTCCTCTCCACTATTTCAGTTTCAAGCTCAAGAGTCTCATTCAGTTCCTCTTCCTTTTCATCCTTCTCTTCCTTTACTTCCTTTACTTCCTTCTTCAGCTTGGTTCCCTTCTTCCTTCCTCTTCCATCCTTCTTAGGGACAGGGGCTGCTTCCTTATCCTCTTCAGGTTCCTGAATGCAAGTACAGAGAAATAGATTTAAATATTCTAAATTAGAAATAGAAAAATTAATATAATCTATATATGTTGGTTATTGCTGGCAACAGCTGGACTAAATTGGCTAATTTTTTTTTTTAATTTGAAACTTTGAAAACTAAAAAATCATAGTTTTTTTTAATTTCAAGGAGCAACGCCGGGCACTTCAGCTTATGCTGAATATTCTCCGTCAAATAATGATTCAGAAACTCAGGATTTTAAAATGTTTCTAATTACCTGTTTAATCCTAGTTTCACTATATTGACTGCTGACACTACTTCTATCACTATTATCCTCCTCTCCTCCAGCCTCTTCCTCCTCCTTAGATCTACTTCCTATACGGACTCCACGGGCCAGAGGTCGACCAGATCCATGCCGGATTCTGAAAATACAAACATCTTGTTTTCTGGTCTATAAAAAAATAACGACAAAAAGTCCTTTATCTTAAAATTAGTTTGCCGTATTCAAAATTGGTAACCTGATTTTTTATGAAACAGAGATATACATGATTTTGTTCAAAATGAGACATTTATGGGGTTTTTATTAATAAATAGAAAACTTAAAAAATAAATTACATCTCTGATGTTTTTGAGAGCAAAAAAAGGCAAATATGGTAGGATTGTTGTAGATGGCACATCTATAAGTTAAACAAATTTAAGACGACATCTGGACGGTCCTTCAGTTCATGGTGTACACTCTGTACCGTACTGTTACACGCTTCTTCTCTCCACATGTTCCTCTCTATCTCTACCTGACTTTTTTTCATTCAGCAGTCAGCCCGTTACCTTCACAGCTACAACACTTGACAGTTATTTCTAACCCTCCTTCCATCCCTTACCACTTTCTTTTTGACTTTTATTAGGATTTGCTTCCCCTACCATGGTTTAGACTTTAGGTTATCTTACCATTACTATCACACTTTGCTCCTTATTTACAAGTCTGTACCTTACTAGGTTTTATTATTCCTATTCTGGACTCTGATATATACAACTGTACAACTTCTAACAACCCTTTCTAGGCAAACCTCCTGGTGAGTTTCCCCCTTTAACCTTGATCCAGATCTACGTGATTAGGCTAACCTCACCCTCCTATCCTTATTTCTTACTCCTGGAGACTGCATGGACAATTCCCAGGTAAGCGTGTTCATTGAGACTAATTCGAAGATCAAGGACGACAGCGAAGTCAACAATCAACTTATATCATAACCCTGTATAATGTACCTGAGGTTTCCTCTAGGATGGTTTACAAGTGTACAACCAAGGGTACGGTAGAGATCCTCAAAACTGTGCAGATATCTGTTATAACACACACGAACCTAACAACAACATGGTTAAAACGCTTTTTCATTTTATTTTCACATTTTTTTATTTTCAACCTCATTTTTCAGACATTTGTCAAAAAAAAATTCCGCAAGCTGGCAGCATTTTTGCATTTGCATTTAATCAAATGACTAATTTGTGAATTTTTTCGAAGGAAAAGCTAAAAAGCTTTCGAAATAAATATTGAAACCTTTAAAAAACAAAGTTCATGACTTACTTCTCAATTCAGAGTCAGACACATGTGTGCATACAAGTAGAAAAAAGTAAAAATTACATTTTGTGATGAAATTTACAGAAAACAATTTTACCTGATTTACACACCAGTTGGTTTCAAATCCTAATTTCTTGGCAACCTGAACACGATTTTTAGTTAGTTTTACAGATTACTAATTTCGAATTTGTCCCTGTCGGAACCTTAGCACAGGACTTAAACTTTATTTTTCTAGTCCCCGCATTTTATGCAAAAGTTGACTTTTTGATTAACCAGAATTCAAAACAAGAAATATTACAGGTCTGTGACATCAGGGACAAACTTATAACTAAGATACGTGGTTGAACCGTCTCTAGACCTAGCTCAAATTCATTAAATCCGGTCCAAGGTTTCACAGAATGGCATCAACAACAACAAAAAACTGAATGATGCGTTAATCGAGGTGCCGGTGATGTAGATTGTAGAACTTGTCGTTTTCTATCCGAAAGAAGAAGAATTTTGGATATTTTTTAACTTTTTTGTGAGAAGAATGGTATAGGTGTTCTCTAGAAATGTTGTATATAAGGTATTTTTCAGAAAGTACATTATTTCAAATACCAGCAAAATTAGAAAAGGGGAAAAAATGTTCGAAAAATATCAGACCAAAAAAGTTTATTTTTTGAATGAAATAAGAAAAGCAGAATTAAAGTTAATTGTAAAATACATATTTTTCCAAAAAAAAAAGTAAATAAAAATATATTCCACTTNCCCAGTTACCTGTCTCTACTGATTATTTAACTAATTTTAATTTAACGTGCCCAGTTACTTGTCTCCACTGGTTATTCAATTTACTTTAAAATTTAACGTGCCCACTGCCCAGTTACCTGTCTCTACTGATTATTTAACTAATTTTAATTTAACGTGCCCAGTTACTTGTCTCCACTGGTTATTCAATTTACTTTAAAATTTAACGTGCCCACTGCCCAGTTACCTATCTCTACTGATTATTTAACTAATTTTAATTTAACGTGTCCAGTTACCTGTCTCCACTGATTATTTAACTTACTTTAATTTAACGTGCCCAGTTACCTGTCTCCACTGGTTATTCAATTTACTTTAAAATTTAACGTGCCCAGTTACCTATCTCCACTGGTTATTTAACTTATTTTAATTTTACGTGCCCAGTTACCTGTCTCCACTGATTATGCGCTGTGACACGGTTTTGTCCACCAAGACGTTGAACCACCTTGAAGAGTCGATAAAGATCGACATCACTTGTTCCGATCGACGGGGTCCGATTGATAGGTGTTCCTCGATCATCCATATGCTTGTACAGCTCAGCAACTAATCAATAAAAGTATTTGAAAGGAAGCAAGGCCATTTAAATCAAATGTAATCATTTGTTGTCTAGGCCCCTGGAGACCTGTCTGCCGGGGGGTTATGACGAATTGTACACTACCCGGCCCGGGACAGAGAAAGCAGGGGGTGTCAGCTGTTTTACTGTCAGCTGCGCATTTTACAGTTTTTTTTCGCTGCATTAGTGAAAAAAATGTTTTTTAAGGGGAAATAAATCAGTTTTTACCATCCCAAAAGATAATATGAAAGAAATATTGGGGTATAGAAATACTGAGGCCGAATTTAAAGAATTTGAGCCGCGTTGGCTGGTTCCACTTGAATTTGTATTCAGTGTTTCGAGATTTTAGCCGGCGCTCATTCGTAACCGGTTTTGGGGGGTTTAGCGACGCGGTTTATATTCTTTAAATTCGGGTTCTGCTTACCTAGATGATCCTTCTCCTCTGTACTCTCTGAATCTTCCTCTCCGCTCTCCAGCACATCTTCTTCACTTGACGCTTCTCCAGTACTACAAGATCAGATATAAAATCTTCAAGATTTTACCCACTCCCCCTTGGAAAGATAATCCTATCCTTTTGCTACTTTGTCTCCAAAAAAAGAATCTATCATCCCATAACTTTATTATTTTGTCACATCATTATTTTACCATTTCAGCATTATTTTTCCAAAACATCATTGTTTTTCCATAACATAATTGTTTACCATATGATCATTATTTTCCCATAAAATCCCAGTCATGTTCTCAAACTTGGGAATTTTTTCCTGCCTTTAAAGTGCATATTTTCGGAATTTTAAGCTACAGATCTTTTCAATTCCCCCCCCCCCCACTCCACACACACACATTATGGGGGTTTTTTCCCCTGGATTCTTTTTTTATCAACTCTCACTGCAGTATACAGAAAAGACCATCAGATATGGCGATTAATAGTTTATGAATAATTCTTGTCCAATTTTTTTTCCAAAACATCCTGATCAGAGCTGGGAACTTTAGAATGGGATACATTTAATCCCGACTGCCTAATCCGAATATCCAATGTGGACACTTTTAATTTCTCTCTTTATCCACTCTTTTTTAAATATAGTTCAGAGAAATCGAAAACCGGTTTTTCAAAATTTGAAAGAACCTCTCGTTTCTGTATATTAATCCTAAATGGCGCGAAAAATTTTTAATTTCCCGGCTTCTGATACGCGATTATGATTGGTTGAATTTCATAAATTTTTCAGGATACAAGTACAAGATTAGGTTAGTCTCTAGATTAAGAAAAAGAGAGGATCACGCATGGATCTCGATATCCATCATTCTTAAGTTTCCAGCTCAGTTTCTCTTGAATCCAGATTAGCAATTACAAATAAATTCACCAAATTATGCTGATTGGATATGTTTAAGTTAACTTTATTTTCATGGAAAACTTGATAAAGAAAACACGAACATCGGTATAAAGACTAATAAGAATTCATGTTTTTTATCAATAATTGCTCATTTATATTTTTGGAAACTTGAGAATGACAGAAAAAAATGACTGAAACTTTTAGATTTTTTAACCTCATATCTTACAAATCTTTTTTCCATTGAGCTAAACTTTAAATGTTAAAAGATTCTGCAACCTGACACGAAACTACATAGGGCCCCTTATTTAAGGAGTGGCAGGTCAGGATCAGTACAGTACACTTCAGCCCTCTCAGTAACAATAAGTTTCCCAGGCCCATTGCCCGTGTAATTTTGAAAAAAATCTAAATCGAAATCTAATCGAAATCGAAATTTCAAGTACCATTGTATAAAATGATAAATGCGCAAAAGGCCAAAATTGACATGCGCAGAAGTCCTACCTCGTTTCTTCGCGCATATCGAAGAGAATCTCTCTATCCCAGTGAGGAGGCAGAACATCCTCATCTAGATAAGCTACAGCGTTCTCCACAGCCTTCAACCCAACTCAATCAAATTCAGATATTTTGTACATATATTGAGAAAACGTTAAATATCTGAAATTCTATTCTGATTATCTACAATCTGTATTGTAGTATTATTAAGATCAATTTCTTTAATATTTGAAAATAAATTATTTTTATTATATCATATTAATCCTAATATTAATTCAAAAAGAAATTGTAACTACAAAATTCTTGTTTGATTTACTTATCTTTTATTTTACTTGATAGCAAGTTTTGGACTTAATAAAAATATTCTTTTAATTATTAATTATGGACTGATTGGTTGATTTATTTTCAATTAATTTATAGAATTGTGTATTCGATTATTGATTATAAATTGATTTATCAGTTATTAACTGATTTCTTTATTTATAATTGATTGCTCAATTTGTCATTGATTGATTATTTATTAAATGAGTTAAGAGCTGATAAGATTTATCGATTGATTGATTGATTCCTTTAGTAAGCCAGTATCAGTTGAGGATTTGGCAGTTTCTCGATGGAACCGTTTACATTCCTTCTTAGGCACAGTGTAATACCGATGATCCTTAAACAATTTATTTACGTTTACTGACGTCAGCAAGAATTTTTTCTGGAAGTAAACAATCATAAGCTTTAAGACTAAGAAAAATCTGTAAATGTAATCCCTAGTAACGTCAAGACCAGCGCCCCCTTCCGTTCCACTTCAGTCCCTAACCATTATAACCAACGAAATCTAAAGGACCAACTTATGGCTTACCTTCGTGAAATAAAATAAATAGCAAAAAAGTTGGCATACCTCTGCCTATCACTTTCTCCATGGAAACACCCGGAAAAATTCTATGGTTTTCACTTAAACTAACAAAAAAATTAAAGTTCTAAAAACTCGGAATTATTTCCGGCATTTTAAACCAGGAGTATCTAAAAATGCGCGTAAAAAAGGTACAAACATTTTCAAGGACATTGAAACCGATAACTTAAATCTAATTGAAACTATTTTTTTCGATTTACAAAATAAATATAATAATTTGAAAAAAATAATTCTGAAAACGTATCCACCCCCAAAGTATGAGTTTTGAACGTCGAATTTTCGCTCAAACTCAGGATTTACAAATCTTTAAAAAGTTTAATATTCTCAAATGAATCCAAAAGAAGTTTTCCACAACACTGCACACTCAGTTCAACTACCTTACATAGCCGGTCACTCCCTACAATTTTTAAAGGGAAAAATCCAGGCAAAGCTGGGTTCCTAAACTAGTAAGAATATATATTGTGCATGAGCATAATAATGCATTTCTAAAGAGGGGAGATGCTTTCATAAATTTGCTATTATTATTTACCTTAAAACTTCGGACTAGAAAGTCTTCTTTCGTATTGATCTTCACTATTTCCTAAAATGTTTGGATTTTTAAATTAGCCAATAAATGTTTACAAACTTGAAGAAATAAGTGTGTTCAGGGTCGAATTGGTCAGAGGTATTTTTAAGAATTACCGGGGGGGGGGGGGGTCATTTTGGAAGATCTGGTGGAAAAATATTATAAAACTTTTCAGAAAAAGGCAAGTTTTTGTTCATCCTTTTTCATACTATTTACCCAAAAAGTCGTTTATATTATTAACCTAACTTCTGTGAACAAAACATTTTAAAAAGAGGAGGGGGGGGGGTGATTTTTCAGAAAAATATACAACCCAGAAATTAGAACTTAATTCACGAAGAGCATAAAAGCCTTCGGATTAGAGAGTTTGAGAAGAATCATTAGTTTCTATTTACCTGGGCGTTTGGTGCAACCACTAGGCCTGGAAACCAGTTCTCCTTGGCTTTTGTTTGTTTTTTATCCGTTACTTCAACACACACTACTCGTCCTATACTCCCTATACAAGAACATAAATTGAGAGGGGTATAGATTTGATTAAAAATCATCCCAACCCTGCATCCTCCCCACATTCCTCCTCCCCCCTTCAAAGATTTTATTCCCAGTATGCGGGGCCTGTGGAAAATTCTTTATAACTTTTTACTTTTTATTCATCATTTATATCGGAGGCTGCGTTACCTAAATAAGGTTGGTTGGATTCCTCGTCCTCCGAACTCTCCTCTTCCTCCTCCTCCTCTTCAACCCTGCCCCGCCTCCGGCCTCCGACCGGAGTTCCGAAATGTTCCGGATGAGTTAAAGGAAGGTTGTCCAAGGATTCCGAGGCGTTGAAATGTTTCCCGGATTTCATGCATAGTGCGTTCCGTCTACAAACATTTACATTTATTCAAAGCTGAAAGGCAAATTGATCCATGGGATAATGTAAGAAAATGCTATTAGAATCTTATAATGCGGTTTATGTTCCACCGGATTACAGGGGTATACATTAGTTCTAAATCACCCCTCCCCCCTTTTCGAAGCGTTAATTTTCCAAAGTCACAACCAAACCACAGGATTTTTTTCTGGGTGACGTGGCCCGAGCAATATTCGAAGAAGTTCTCTGCGGCGGGGGGAAGGGGGTGCAGCGCTGATCCTCTCCTGATGAGAAAATTTGTTTACACCCCTGTCAGATATGTTTACACCCCTGCCAGATATATTCACACCCCTACCAGATATGTTCACACCCCTGCCAGATATGTTTACACCCCTGCCAAATATGTTCACACCCCTGCCAGATATGTTTACACCCCTGCCAGATATATTCACACCCCTGCCAGATATGTTTACACCCCTGCCAGATATGTTCACACCCCTACCAGATATGTTTACACCCCTGCCAGATATGTTCACACCCCTACCAGATATGTTTACACCCCCTGCCAGATATGTTTACACCCCTGCCAGATATGTTCACACCCCTGCCAGATATGTTTACACCCCCTGCCAGATTTGTTTAAACCCCCTGCCAGATATGTTTACACCCCTCCCAGATATGTTTACACCCCTGCCAGATGTTTACACCCCCTGCCAGATATGTTTACACCCCTGCCAGATATGTTCACACCCCTGTCAGATATGTTTACACCCCCTGCCAGATATGTTTAAGCTGGAAGTTCTGCAAATATGGTGTATTCTGCGAATTCACTTCCCAAAAGAAATAAATTGAGATCTGGAAGAAGAAATTTTTAACAAATTTGATTCTTGAATATCTTACAGAGAAAGATAGTCTTTTGCTCATTCGTATATTTCGTATTTTTAATAATAAAAGAAACTATTATCAAGTCCAAGAACGAAAAAGAAGGGAAAAACAGAAAAAGCTTTAACAATGTCATTATCTCCGATAAAATAAATAAATGAAAGTTCCTTAATGTCGCAATATCACCATCATCAAACACGACGGTGTAGTGGGATTGATCCTATAAATAAAGTTATTTATAATTAATACAATTAATAATTAATGAGAATTTTTATAGTTAAAACTGAAGTAAAAATATTTTGATTATTTGATTTCTTGAAAAATTTTATTTTTTGAGAAACCCTTGAAGAGAAAAAAATGTTCAAAATTGAATCATCATTTTACGTTGATTTTAAAGTTTTTCGAAAAATATGTCTCACTACCAGCTGTATCAATTCTAACAGAGAGTGTCGAAGGTATTTCCACTTAAAAAATAACATGCCCATTCCCAACTTTTTAACCATTTAAACTGGGCAAACATGAGAGAGATACACAATATACATGTTTTTCAATCTGAAAACAGACGATTTTTATCTGAGATTTAAGTTTATTAGTGACGAAATAAATGAATATCATCCTCAGTGTTACTCAAAAAAGGTTTTACAAGTTTGTTGATCGGGCATATAAATATTTAGGGTCACTCGCAATTACGTTGACAATCCCTTTTCAAGTTTAGATTGGTTTATACCTGTATTTTGTTGATTACAGCATCTAAAAACGTGCCTTTCTCTGGATGCTTGGCTTGTACAGTAGCTCCAGCCAATATATTTCCTAAATTATACCGTACAGTAAAGTACAGTACAGTACAGTCTACAGTACAATACGGTACAGTACAGTACAATACACAGTGCATTAAAAAATTATGATTTTCCAAATAAACGAGAAAAAAAAATAGAAGAGAATCCAGAAACCAAAATGAAAGTGTGTTTTCAAGGGACGCTTGATAAAACATGTGTTACCTTTTAACAATGAATCACAGAGAGTAAAGCTTCCTAGTCCCTAAAGAGATAATTTTCTATTAAGTTTTAAGATTTCAAATCTTGAAATGATCAAGAACAAGGAAGTTTAGAACAAAAGAGAAATCATGGTTTGCTCACCACGTATTAATAGAACTTTAGTTCTAGTTTTATTATAATCCAAAAACATTAAGTAGATAAATGTTAAATTCTGACCCTCCTTCTATCCACCGGAATAATGAATCCACAGACTAGTTATATACTGACTGCTAACACAGAGTTTACAGGCTGGGCTACTTAGGCCTATTGGCGTACCGGCACGACATGCTATATTCTTTAAAAAGTTTTTCTTACGGCAATATAACCGCCACTTAATTTGTTGCAAAAAATACCCATTCTGGGTATGGGAAAAATTGACATTTGGGTAAATTGTAGTAAGAGTGGTATTATTATTTTTTAAAATAAAACTTTGAATTTTGAGCTCAACAAAATAAGTTCGATTTATTCATAAAAAAGTTGAAAAAATGACAACTCACCAGTTTGAAGGTTATCCGGCACTTGACAACTCTGTGCACCTTTTTAACCTAAATTCACAATTTTTTATTGTAAAATTCCAACAAAAAAATATTTTTAAAAATGTGAATATTTTTAGAAGTACAAAAAGCTTACTTTAGCTTCGCAGAAAGCTCCTTTGTACTTTGCTGACACCTCACTGCCTACAGGCAGACAAGCAAGTTCCTCCGCCTAATTAAAGGAAAAATCTTTCTAAATAAAACTTTTTTATCTTTTATTTAAATCTTGAAAAACTAGAGTTGGTTCGAAATATGCATACATGCTAAATTGTGTGAAATTTAATATCCTCAATTTGGGTCTGTCCTAAAGAACAATTCTTCTCTTAGAAAATAATACCTGCATGTTGTATGGATAACCAGGATTTATAAGAAATAACTCTTCAACGGGTCAAGATTCAATTTTATTACAATTTTGGAAATTCATTTGTAAATCTCCCTCCATGACCTTTCAGACAGTTAATTGTATGTAGACACAAAACAGCTGAAAATGCAGGATTGTGATTGGTGATCAGAGATGGAATTCTGTTCTCTTATTGGCTGGAGCAGATCAATTGAAGTTCTACTATTGGTTATGAAATTTTACCCTTCTTTGATTGGTCCAAATTTTCACGGATTTATGACGTCACGGCCCAAGTTTACACAGTACATTTGTCTACTGCAGTCCGACCAGGTATAAGAGTACATTAACATACAAAAGTATTCAAGATCAGTACAACTCGAAAATTTAAAATATCTTTATCCCCTTCATCTGGAGGTTGAGAAAAATTTTCTGGGATAAAATACAGTGTCAAAATGTAGTTAGATGTTTGTTTGATCCTGCAGCTAAGACTGAATCTGCTGGTTTTTATTTTGTTCCCTACGTTTTCTAATCCTTATTTCTTTGTAACCTCACTTTTGATATTTAAAATCTTGATTATTTGATCTAACATAATACATAGTTTTAAACATCTAGGGTATACTCCTGGAATAGCGCTTTTCATAACTGGTTTATAAACTCACTGCCCTTATCTGAGTGTATCTGGTTTGGTAAGCCAAATACGCGGGGGCTTTTAATTATATTTTGTTAATTCTAAGGCTGTACTATTTTAATGGAATGCTATTTTTAACCCGTTTTTTAATGGTTGCAAACTTAAACAGCTTCATGTTTCCATAAGTTTTTACCAAAAATTCTTATATTTTTATTATTTTAACCCCTGGATTGAACCATCTTCGATCAATATGTATATGTAGATGCAAGCATCACCCTCCGCGACTATTTATTGGTTAGGGAATATTTATTTAGGGAAATTCAAGAACATTTTTATCAACAATGTTTTGGGACATCTTTTCTCTCACAAAGCGTTACAAAATACAGATTTAGGTATCGTTAAAAATCTTTAAATAATACTGTCTCCAGTGTAATCAGTCATAATATAATTGATATTGATATGATATTGATATTATATTCTGAAAAGAATAAAATATATATTCTTTTAAAGTTTTTTGCCCTTTTTTAATTTCTAGATTTTATAATGATTTTTAATTATTGTCAAATAACTAATAGTCAGTCATGCAGTCAGTCCCGATTGGGCTATTTTTGTCTAATATAGATTAGAGGTTTCTTGTCAAAGAATTAATTTGTCTCTTTATGGTGAACATAATTTGTTATATTTTTACCTTTTCTTATATCTAATTTACAATTTGTTGCATCTTTAAACGTTTTGTTTGATTTTTAAACAGTATTTAGGTTTGATTTTTAAACAGTATTTAGGTTTGATTTTCGGGCAATACATTTTATTCTTCGATTTACATTTTTTTATTTCTATAATATTTGAACACTTTTAAAAAAAAATGTATATTTTTTAGGAATTTAGTTTTAATCTTAATCTCGAGCTTCAAAGTTTGGGGTCCGTCTTTGTTTATAACTTTTGGACCCAAGACATGGAGGGGTCCTTGAAACTTTGTCTTGCAGCCTCTGTCTGTATAAAAAAATGTCGTAATTTTAAAAGTAAATTTTTATGACTTTTTAACTTATAATCGAATATTTTTGCAGATGTCAGGACTGGAGAGATATATGAGAAATTATCCCCTTTTTTCCACCCTTAGAGAAATGCAAGGAAGAGAGGAACTCACAGACACTCTTCTAATAACTACAGATCATAAAATTGCCGTCCATGCCGGTGTTTTAGGTAATTTTTAAATTTTCAATAAAAAAGAAAAACTTAAAAAAGAATTGAAGTAAAAATAAAAATCTAAATAATATATATTGTTATTTAATGATGATAAAAAAATATTTCTGAATGTAGAAATGCACGTCACAAAAAGTGATAATTTGAGAGGGAATAAATAGATAAGGAAAAAGGAATAATGAAGGATTTAAAAAAAGATAATTATAGTAGAATGAGAATGAGAATGATTTGATGTGGGTAGGTTGGTTCATTGGCTAATTGGTTCATTGGTTAATTGGTTTGTTGGTTAACTTGGTTAGTTGGTTAGGCTCCTCAACTCGGACACTGTAGTGTAGTAAATGCTGTACTCTTATAACTTCATCCCAAACTGTATCAGTCCAGGCATGGCACGAGATATATCCAATTTACAGGCAGGGTAGCTTTGCATCCGAACATTGCGAAGAATGGAATCTGGCCTCTGCTGGTATCTATGGACCCATTGCTCTCAGAATACTCACTAATGTTAGATGCCATCTCTCCACAATATTTGACAATGGGTTATATGGTGGGGTCTGGTATGCAATATTTTTAACTCCTGGAATAGCGCTTTTCATAACTGGTTTATAAACTCACTGCCCTTATCTGAGTGTATCTGGTTTGGTAAGCCAAATACGCTGAAATGTTCATGTATTAAAACTCTTGCCACTGTACCCACCTCCTTGTTACAAACCAGATATGCACTGGCAAATCTTGTGATTCCATCTTGTACTGTCAACAAATAACAGTGCTTTAGCCTTTTTCACTGTTTCTGATAGTGATACCAGATCAATGAAGACTTTTCTTCCATGTTCCCCACTGCACTCGGTACATGAGGTCCCATCTTGGATTTGTACTTCTTTCTTTGGTTAGGCAGATATCACAACATTCTGCTAATCTTCTAATCTTGTCTCAAGCTGATAAAACAAAGAATGTTCTTTGAAACTTGCCTAACGTAACATTTACACCTCTGTGTCCAGACGTTATTCCTTCATCACAGATCTGGAATGTTTCTTTCAATTTGTTTCTGGAACTCATATCCTAAGCATTATATGTTGGATCCAAGTGTTTATTGTAACACAAAACACCATTATGCATCACAAGCAGTATAGGATTGATTAATTGTCTCACGGCCAGTACTTCCTGTACTTTACCTCTTAACTCTTGCATCTGTGATGCTTTACCTTCTAGGACCCATTGGATAACTCCTTTCCAGACTTCATCAGCTGCCTGTAGCTTCTTTAACTCGTTCCCTTTGATTATTTCAGGTCTTGTTTCCTGACTAATGCTGTGCACTGCAAGCAAATATCCGGCAAACCTCCACCTTTCCTTTGCTATTTCTGACGGATCTTCTTCTAGATCTGTAGCTTAAGTGATTTTGAGCGTGAGGGTGAGGGTTAGGAGGGATAGGTTAATGGTCAACAATCTTATATTTGTACCTGATATCCAAGAAGCCAAATGTTTTGAATTTACTGTTCAATGGGATTTCAGATTTAAAGATAATTAAACTACGGTCGTCACCAATACAATGAAGACGACTTCATATTTAAATTTTTATTCACACCAAGTTTTCAAGCAGTACGCAAAAACTTGGAAACAAAGAGAAACTGTAAATTAAAACTTTTCTTAATTTACTTGTAACTTTAATTTGGAAAAAGTGCTTGTTAGAAACTTAGAAATCAAAACTTAAATGGAATAGTCGTCTTTATTAATATACACCCTGACTACTGTTTATCATAAATAAAGAAAGGTTACCAAAGATTTTGTAATTTAATTTTTTAAATGTTCCTTGGACATTCTTACTGAAATTAATCAAAATAATTCAGAATTCATTGAAATTTAACTAAAGAGAAGGAAAACGAAGACGTCAATAATATCTCATTTTTCTTGTTACCACTGTAATTACACTTTAGATTGACAGAGATATATATATATGTAATAATGTAATGTCGCCTGATTAACTGTCAATTATTTCCAGGTCTTTCTGGTTATGACTATACTAAATAATAATGATAATAAAATTAAGATCTGGAATTTATTTTAGTTTCCAATATGTACAATCAGATGAAAATTGAGATAATCAAGATAGAGCCATCTGAAATTCTTCTCCATAGTGATACAGATACTGATGAGATGGATGAGAATGCCGAAGACAGTATGAATGAGGATGATAATATTCCTGATGGGAATTCTATAACCTTAGATTTGTCTAAATCTACAATGCCAATAGAATATAAAAAGTGTTTTGAATGTGAAGAAGAGTTTAGCAAAGTCAAGCAGTTGAAAGACCACATGAAGCTTGTTCATGCAGAATTGAGCCCTTGTTGGAAGTGTAACAAGTTGTTTGCTTCAAATACAATCTTGAAACAACACAAGAAAACAAATCATGGAAAAATTAAGGTGAATACATTTCACAGAGATAAATCAAAACAAATGTTATAAGTTTCTAATTTCATACTGCAGTAAAACTCGATTTTCTTAGACAACTAAGAGATTTTTTATAATGTCTCCTTCTTAGCATTTTAAGAGTGCGCATTTAAAAAAAATTTTGCGTTCCGACTGTAGCCAAGCTGTTTGGTAGCATGATCTGCGCATTTCAAGGTTTATTTAATTATCTTTACAACAAAAATGGAAAAATGTTCATACCGAAAAAAAAGTTGATAATGCTTTAGTAAATTAAACATATTCCTATGAAGCTGTGATCAGAAATCTTGGACAGCAGATTTGAAAAACAAAAGATCTTCACAGGAATTAATTCTTTGCCACAAACTCAACTTTTCTAATCCTTATTTCTTTGTAACCTCACTTTTGATATTTAAAATCTTGATTATTTGATCTAACATAATACATAGTTTTAAACATCTAGGGTATATAGCCAAATATATAGGGATAAGAAAATTAGAGTTAGTGACAAAAACTTATTTTCTTTCTGTCGTTGTCTCCGAATCTGAGTTTTACTGTATTTTTGTTTAGGAGAAAGATTTAAGTTTTATTTTGCTAAACGAAGATGTGAAGAAAGCTCTTGGATTAGCTGTTAAGAGAGGAATGCTGGGTAAACACGAGTTTATCTGTCAAGAACAGGAAAATAACCACCATGTTAAAGAATCAAATCAAACAATTTCATATTTGAACATTGCATGCGCAGAAAAAAAAACCCACCATTTTAAAAAAGATCAAATGATACAGTTTCTTTTATTTGAATTTTGCATGTGCAGCCTGCATACAAATAAAAAGATCTAATTTTCGGCATTTACCTCTTGAAAAGCTTTTCTTTAAAACATTATAAACAATTGCCCAGCCCATTCCCTCATTCTTTGTTTCCAAGAGTGGTTTTCTTTAGGAGGAAAACGGTGTAAAATGTTTAGAACAGTTTTTGAACCAGGATGCATTGCGGCATCATATTTCTAACAAGCATGTGCTTGGATTGTATTATTGCTGTAAATGTGACAAACAATTAAATAACAGGTATATCATTTTCAAATTTGTTGAAAAGGATGATTTACGTTTATTATTACATACATCAAAAATTATGATAATATACTTTTTTCATGAAAAAGTTCAAATCCTTCTTTCAAGTTTTCTATAATACAATCAAAAACTAAATTTGAAAGGAATTGAGTCTTTGCCACAAACTAAAATTTTCTGAGCCCTGTATCTTTGCAACCTGACGGTGTGAACCTCTCAAACTCAGATTTTTTTATCCTAACAGAAAAATGTAAGGACTAAGACATCTGTGCTAAGAAATCTGACATATGTCCTTTTTGGTATAATTTTGACACAGTTTTGTGTCAATTTCTCGAGACAGGAACATAAGATAGATGTCTCATAGGTATTTTTTCATTTTTCCTTTACAGTCCCTTTAAGACTTAAATGTTTTTGTATAAGTTTGAAAGATTTAAAAGTCAATGTAAATTATTTACATAAGTTATGGATGGATAAAAAAAGTCAATGTAAATATTTGCATAAATTAAAGATGGATAAAAAGTCAAAGTGAGTTATTTACCTAAGTTATAGATGGATAAAAAAGTCAAAGTAAATTAGTTACATAAGTTATAGATGGATAAACAAGTCAATGTAAATCATTTACATAAGTTATAGATGGATAAAAAAGTCCATATAAATTATTTAAATGAGCTATATAGATGGATGAAAAAGACAATGTAAATTATTTGCATTAATTATAGATGGAAAAAAAGTTAATATAAATTGTTAACATAAGTTATATATGGATAAAAGCCAATTTAAATAACTTACAGGAATAAAAAACAAATTTTCTATCAAAGTATATATATTGAAAGCTGACAAATTGAACATGTTTGTAAATTTTGTTCAGGGTTATGAAATTTACCCACGTCAAGTCCAAGCATTCCAAAGACAAAGATGAGAAAGGAAAGTTTGAGTGTAAAAGCTGTGGGAAAAGGTTCAAATCTGCTTACTACTTGAAAACTCACTCAAGAAAAGTTCACAGTGATGATATTAAGGTATTTTTTCAATGTTATTTGTACTGCAAATGTACTTCCCCTACCTCTGAGGCCTACATCTTTTGTCCCTTTTCTGACTGAACCGGGAGGGGGGGGACAATATTAGACCCCACTGGTTGCAAACTTAAACAGCTTCATGTTTCCATAAGTTTTTACCAAAAATTCTTATATTTTTATTATTTTAACCCCTGGATTGAACCATCTTCGATATATTAGACCCCACTGTTTTTGTGGTAACTCAAAAAGTATTAAAGCTGGGAAGCTCAAATGTTCTGACGTTTCCCTAATATTTATATTTGTAATGTTTAAGACAAAAATCGAAGGCCTCCTGCCTTAAGGCATGTTTTTTTTACACCCAACAAAATCTTAATTTTGTGGTGCTTTTAAGTTTTAGGATATTTATAAAAATGTTAATTTTTCCCCATACTCGAACTTTAAAGATCGAAGCTTTTCAAAATGTAAAATATATCCTCCATAGCTATCATAATATGGATTTAGAATTTTTAAAAAAGTTTCAAATTTTAAAAATGATTTTGTTAAGTTCGTTAATTGTATATTTTTTATTTTTATTAGAATGAAAAAAACAGCTTTATAGTTGTGAACACAGAGGTAAAAAGACAGTTAAAGGCTTCTGTATCACGTGGCACTGTTAGTAAAGATGAGTACACGTGCCAGGAGGAAGACGAGCGCGGTGCACAATGCAGCGCGGCATTTCAGACAGCTGATAAGTTCCACCATCATCTTTCCACACATCACCTCTCTGGGCTTTATCACTGTACGCTCTGTGATAAACAGCTCAATAACAGGAACATTAAGCTTTAAAACTTTAAATCATTTGATGTCGTTGCAAGAATATCTTTTACTTCTGAGTAGCTAATGATTAGAAAAAAAAACTGATTTTGCTCCCCACCAAACAGTTCTTTTAACTTTTTGATGTAAAATGGAAACTAAAAGATCTTACAGGTTGCAAAGTCTTACCAGAAATTCTGTAAAAAATTGTTCCAGATTGGAAAAAGTAACAATTCTGTTTGCAGAAAAGTACATTCCAGGTTTTTAATAATTTTCTAAAGCTAAAATGTTTAAGGGCGATGAAGCACTTGCACATGAAGAAACATGCTTCAGAGAATTATCCTGAAACACAAGGGAAAGATCACCAAGTCTATTCATGTGATATCTGTGAGTTTTCTGCTACCAACAAGCATTGTCTAAACCTACACAGGAATCTTTGCTGTATTTATGATAAAAATGGTTTTTATCTGTTTATTGACATTTCTCTTCTTTAAGTTTTTAAAACATCAAATGTTTTCGTAATTTTCCTTTAACTCTTTCACACCACCAATGCAGAACATTTTTAGCACATGCTTTAGACTAACAATATTTATTTTGATTACATATTTTGGAAGAAAACAGTTTTTTTCAAATCGTTGTGTTTTTTCCTGGTTTTTTTGTACTTTTATATCAGAAAATTTCTAGCACCAAGTCAATACTGACTTTTAGGTGTCAAAGGGAGGCTTTACTTAGACTTTATATATCAGAAGAAAATTCTATTTTTCTATGAGAAACTTTGATTTACCCCTGTCCATGGTTTTTTTCCCTCACATCAGCATAGGTTCTGAAATCTAGAAGAAATAAGCATGAGGCCTCAAAAGAGAAATCTGTCTGTGATATTTGTTTAAGAGAATACACAACACTTGAAAATATGTTAGGAACTAGACTAAATAGTATTTATATTGATATTTTTAAATATAAAAAACTGAAATTATCAACATGTTAGATTTTATTTGATAAGATAACCAAAAAGACATGAATAACAAAAGCAGAATTGTCTAGTTATATTTGATTTAATAAATAACCAATAAAAAATCACGTTTTAAGTAATATTTTCCTCTCCTAAATCCGTATACAGTGTTATCTTAGCCCATCACAACGTGTTAAAACCTAAATATAAGTTACATCATTGATCTTTATTATCTAATGAAGGAAAAATAACAATCGCCATTTTGTTTCCTTATTTTGGTTTGGTTTGGTAGACCATAAGAGAAAAATCCACGAAGGTGAAGGGTTTCCGTGTGAAACTTGTGGGAAAACATTCAGAACTCTCAAAGCAGTTTCTTTACATGCAGAGATACATGCAGGTACATCATAAATAAAACAGTACAATTTCCTTGTACAATCTTTATCTGTTTTAATGTACTTGCCGCTCCTTAAAATACACCTTACCCAACAAATGGACTTCTTACAGTGAATATCATTGTTAAATTAGTTGTATAATAAATATGTTTTAAATTTGAACTCTAAAATGTTAAAACTCTGAATCTCTCTTTTAAAATAATCTAATTCATTAACTAGAGAACTTCAAATTTAAATGAAAATAGTATAAGTTCGGGGTTAAAATAAACTGTTTTTATGAAAGTATGCTCTTACAAAATTGCAGCCATTACTTCAATTTTTAATTAAGGGGGATTTTTCTGCAAAAAAAAAATACAAAAAACTGAAATAAACGTCGTATTTTCTCTTCCATTTGCAGCTGATATATCTCTTAAAATGTTTAGGGCACTTTGTAGAAATAGTTCAGGAGCAAATTCCAATGTCCAAAAAGACATATTAGGATTTAAAGAAAAGAAGACAACTATGATTTCTCTGTTTTCTAATACTAACTGTATTCCCCCAGGTTCAAAACATCCCTGTGATAAATGCGGGAAAGAGTTTTCATCCCAGCAGGCTTTAACATCACACAGCAACAACTACCATGGACCAGTTCAGGTGATCATACAGTTTTAGATTATTAATTTAAATTGAATTGACATTAAATCTTTTATCTATATATATATTTTGCCTGTCTGTCTGTCATGGGCAACTAAAATTAGCGCTCCTATAAACTGGGCAGCCGGGAGCTGCTATGAGGGAGGTCTGTACCTCTATAACAGTGGTAAGCAACTGTTTATTATCTATCTATTTATTTAGGAGTATGTTTGTCAATACTGTGGAAAAATTTCCAATATCTATGTGACCCACAAGCGCCACCAAGAAACACATACTGGAGAGAAACCCTTTAAATGTGACATCTGTCAAACTGCATATGATCGGAAACATAAACTGGACATGCACAAGAAAACCCACTCGGATAATAAGGAGTTTGAATGTGATATTTGTCAGGCAAAATTTAAAGTTTATTATGTTCTGAAGAGGCATAAAGTGATCCACAAGGAACGAAGGCATAAATGCCATATGTGCAAGTTTGCAGCACATCAGTCCTTTGACCTGACCAGGCACTATAGGTCAGTGCATGCTATTGAAAGGCCAAAAGAAACTTATTTGTCCTATAAAAATGATACTTGATTTCAATCAATAAAAATGACAAAAATTGGTTATGGCATTAATAAAAATTATGAAAAAATAGATTAAGATAAGATAAGATAACGGTTATTGCTAAAATAAATGTATCTGTATACAGATAGAGTTTACAATCACAAAATTGATGATTATATTAACAGTACAAGTATAAAGCAATTAGGTGGAAAATAGCTCNAACTCTGTAAACCCTGAATAGAGACGGGAACTCTGTAAACCCTGAATAGAGACGGGAACTCTGTAAACCCTGAATAGAGACGGGAACTCTGTAAACCCTGAATAGAGACGGGAACTCTGTAAACCCTGAATAGAGACGGGAACTCTGTAAACCCTGAATAGAGACGGGAACTCTGTAAACCCTGAATAGAGACGGGAACTCTGTAAACCCTGAATAGAGACGGGAACTCTGTAAACCCTGAATAGAGACGGGAACTCTGTAAACCCTGAATAGAGACGGGAACTCTGTAAACCCTGAATAGAGACGGGAACTCTGTAAACCCTGAATAGAGACGGGAACTCTGTAAACCCTGAATAGAGACGGGAACTCTGTAAACCCTGAATAGAGACGGGAACTCTGTAAACCCTGAATAGAGACGGGAACTCTGTAAACCCTGAATAGAGACGGGAACTCTGTAAACCCTGAATAGAGACGGGAACTCTGTAAACCCTGAATAGAGACGGGAACTCTGTAAACCCTGAATAGAGACGGGAACTCTGTAAACCCTGAATAGAGACGGGAACTCTGTAAACCCTGAATAGAGACGGGAACTCTGTAAACCCTGAATAGAGACAGGAACTCTGTAAATCTTGGATAGAGGCTGTATTCTGAAGCACTGTGCCTGAGATGAACTTACAAGAATCAAAATTTTTTTTTCAAAAATATCCACTCCTTTCCTAACCTTTCTTATCCCATTTGTCATTATCAAGGCGGAATTCTAGCAATGAATATCCTCAGAATTTTCAAACCCCTCCTAGTGCAATGATTTTTTTTCTCCAACCTGTAAGAATATTGAACAATGAATTTATGTTTGAACCTGAACCTTCAATCAGTTGAGTCAGACATTCCTGGCAAAATTGAAAACTGCAGATCAGTTAAAGAGAAGATACAAGTCAGAGAAAGAATTCACTTCTCGTTTTAAAAGTTTGTAAAAAACTTTTAATTTAAAAATAAATTGTAGAAAAAAAACTGTATAAAGCTTTTTTCAATTTTAGGCAATACCGTGTGATTCAATAGGGTTTGATTTTGTTTGAAAAATGAAAGCCCAATTTAGCTAATAACGGAAAATATGTGTTCTCATACTTTTCTGTAATTTCTGTAATTTTCTTATTTTGGGCCACAATGTGTTAAAATATAGCGAGTTTTGGTGGAAAATACTGCAAACAATCAGAACGTTCTCCATAAAAATTATGCTTTCATAATTATTTTCATTTTTCATTACATTGTACTGAGGAGGAGGAGATTAAATAAAATAAAATAATGTTTATGTTTATTCCAATATTATTCAACTTGTGCCAAAACCAAATCATAAAACCATTTGATTCCTAAATCTAAATAATTACAAAACACAAAATGTGTGTTTATTACATACCACTAAAGTATCTTTAACCTGATACCCGCACTGAAAGGTGTTTATTTATTTACTTCATAAAGAATTGAAGAAAGTCCTATCTTGTTCTTCATATTTAATTTTATTTATGTTTCTAAAAATATGTGTGTTCATAAAATTAACCCACTGTATTTTTAGCAACTCTATATTGGGATCAAGAATTAGGAGAGAGAACCCAAGTGCTGATTCAACGGGAAAGGAGAAAGGTTGAAGGACAAAATGAGAGAGAGAAAGAATTAGGTATTTGAAACAACTTAGATATATTACGAGGTTCAAGGGAGGTATTAACCCTATTCCCAAAAAATTCAATTTTCGCAAATTTGCAATTTTTTTTTGCAGATTCTAAAAGTAGAGCACAAGAGCTTTCTAATGATGTATCATTTGTCATATTTGGACATAAAACATGGGATTTAGAGGGGGGGTCAAATTGACCCCCCCCCCAGCGTATCCTGGTTTTCAAGTACCCCAGCGCGACCAACTTGAAGAATTTCAATGATTTTCCTCATATTTTAAAGACTTAAAAGTCACTACAAATCAACCAGGAGGAGAAGGACAACTTCAATTGACATTACTGTTACGACTTTGTAACTCCGTTGCTCCTCTAGTTCTGATTTTACGCACAAGTATAAGAAAAGTTAATTTATTCGGATACATATTATAAATTCAATACTCTTTTCTTCTTCTCAAAAGCTCTTTAGATTTTAATAAGATGAGTTATGATAAAGACTTAAAAGATTTAAATTTTTTTGTTTTCAATTTTATACGAATTCAAATGTACGTGCAACACAGAATTTCAATTAAAGAAGATTCCTAAAAATAATTCTTATTTTCGTTTAAAAATAATTTTTCAAAGAGGGATTTGGGATTAAAAATGTGTCTCAAAGAAATTATGTTTTCTTATTTTCCTCTTTGGATTTATGGTATCGTAATCTAAAAATTAACATTTTTCTGCAAGGAACATAGCTATTTGTTTTAATTTGCTTGAGGTATTGTGAAATAAAAACTTTCCTTGACTTGCGTTATGCCTATTCTGTACTTTGAAAGAAAAAAAATTTATAAAATGTAAACCATTAGCAGCAACATGACGAGCCGTGGCTTAAAATTCGAACATAAAAATTCCAAGTTATAAAACAGAATGTAAACAATGCCTGACGAAAAAATGTGTGTTCGGAGAGTTCGGACGAAATAACGTCATTTGTAACGTGTATTCCATGAAGGGGACTAGTATTATTTAGATCAAAGTTTGCGTTCAGTAATTATGCAAAGTAAATACGTCTTATTGGTATCAAATAATTCTTATTATTATTTTCTATAATTCACTCTTAGCTCAACTATCGTTCCTTGCCGGTCACTCTCTGAAAAGGTGGTGGCGATATTACAATATATTGAAGACGACTTTTGATTTCAATTTTGATTCATGTCATGCTATTAAACAGCAAGGATACACAAAACATGGAATGCCAAGAGAAGCTGTCAATTTAAAAAAGCTGTCTCTTTAATTTCTTGTAAACTTGTTAACAATTTATACTTAAATACTAAATTCGTCTTTATTATATTGATATAATCACCTACCACTGTATATATTTATCCCCAGTTAGGGTTTCCAGCGAAAAAAGAAAAATCGGTTCGTGAATTTCATATTTTTCGCGAAAAAAAAATTGCATTTCGTGCGCTCGCTTTAAATGCGAAAATTTTCGTTTTTTAAATAATCTTGCACATTTGACCTTGATATTCAATGCGGGATCTTTTAAATTTGAAGATCAACCTAGGTTAAATTTATCTCTTGAGCTGAAAACTTTATAATGGTGGATATCGGGATTAATGCTTGATCCTCTCTTTTTGATAATCTCAAGATTAACATAATCTTGCAAGATTATCTTAAAAGTGTATGAAAAACGATAAAATTCAAATTAATATTTAATCATCTGAGAAACTGTAGCAGCCAATCAGAGAAAAGCGGGCAACCAATGAGAGAACAGAAATATTCTCATTGGAGAAAACAATTAACGGATATCCAAGGAGAGAGAAAAAGAGTGGATTAGG